TTGGATGTCTACTGTGTTCAACATTTTGGGGCTCAATGTCCGATTTATCAATCGATCGAGTGTTTCCGCGAGGTGGAGAAAAGATGGAAAAGATAGTTTTAACCTCATGTGAGTAAAATGGCGTGCTGCTCAGTTGTTCAAAGTAGCGTATCGTCATCATTTCTTGCCTGACTCGATCAGCGGTCCCTACCCAATGTGTGTTGTACCCAATGGATACAAATGCTATTCGTTATTTTTCCGTTCCGGTCTATAGTCTACATATCATGAGAAACACCTTACTTACTTTTAGACGGACTTAACTAAAATTCCACTGAATCTCTCGTTTACTGTGCCTCCAGCTGAGTATATTATGAACACTAAGTTAAGTTGCGGGAGATTGAACAGCTCTACTTACGTACAAACTGGCATTTGATTGGCTAAGAACTCTGAAACTAAGCCAACCCAAAGAATTCGATTTCTGCTTGTTACTCAGGAAATCGATAAGTTAAACTCGTCGTGCTTTGGTTATCACATCGATGTCTATTGTCAATCCACACCGGGTAAGTTAATTCTAAAGCTTACGTCACTGTACTACAGGCAGCTATTTAGCATTCCCAAACTTTCTGTGACTGATTGCCCGTTTCAGGAAAACAAATGGTTCCTGAATCTTATCAATAAATTTTTAATCCTGTGAAGTTTTCAGCATCCGTTCCCAAAAGAACATGTGTGTAAAATTGTGTGGAGGAGAATTTGGTGTGTAAATCCGGTTGAAGCAAAGATTTCACCCTAGACACGACACTGAGGAGGGAACTGTGTATTTATACAGATGGCTTTTGTTTGATTGACATCAGTATATTCAAAATGGCTGTGCCATATGGAAGGTCTGTACCCAATGTTGCCCGATGAATGTTCTAAATTTGGAGAGCGTTTACTATGCTTTTACCGGTTTAATTGAACTATCGGAGACGTAGGAATAATTTCTCGCGATGACTGAACTTCTCACCTAAGACGTTTTTAGTCGAGAACCCATTCATCTTAGGACTATTATGTGATGTGAATTCTGTGACTGAAGGATAAGTGGTTCTTCACTCTGCATAAGTGCAAGTTCATCAGATTGCCGATCCGTTTTTCGTGGCCGAACAATTTAGTTTCCACTTACTAGCTTGAAAGTCGCGAGTTGGAATTCCTTGGCTATTCGTGATGTGCTGGTGATTCCTAATGAGTCGTACAGCTCTTGGCACGAATGGGCTTCATTAAAGGGACGAAAATAGGACGGGAAACGTGTGGCTTTTCTAAGCAGATGGCACACACCAATAAGCCCACAGTTGTTGGGATGCATAAATCATCAAAAAACGTTTGCGTGACAGAAACTCTCGTCCTACTTAAGAGAGCTAGATGTTTGTTCACATGCAACCTGAACACGAAAGTGCCACGGTAATTGCTTCAGTCTGAAGCCATAACATTCTAGTTTCCCTTACATTAGCCGAAATTTATATGAGCGTCAGTTTTGTGATTATGCATGGATTTAATTCACCAACTGGCTGTGTTCTCTGCGGGGCGAGATGTTTAATTCACCAACTGGCTGTGTTCTCTGCGGGGGCGAGATGGCCCGGTGAATAGAGAGCGAATTTACTAACCGGAAGGTCCGTGGTTCGAACCCACCCTCTGCCTCTCGACTTCCCTTGTCTAGGCTTGGGCAACCTGGCAATATCCCAGCCCTCGTGCTTCCTTCGGGTGGTATGGCGGCTAGGCACCGAAAGGGTTTTACAGCTGAACACTTTTATTTTTCCATTTGTGTTCTCTACGGCCACATCAACAAAGACCAAGTTCTGTCATGTAAAGTTGGATAACGTATCATTTTGAAGCGAATTCCAAGTCCGGCACATACCCTGATTGATCGACGAAAACCAAGTTATCGTGTGTTTTGTAACCATGAGGAGTAGATGCACGAAGTAGCAATGAGTGAACGATGAGTGACATCCATAGTATGGTGAGCTGAACACGGGCATTTGGGGAAGACGCAATGATAGAGTGGAATTTTCTGACGGAAATTCGGCGTCACAGCAGCGGTCAATTCCACCTTGCATGAGAAGACCTCTGCACTCATATAGTTTGGCAAATTAGGAATATGTAGAACGAGTATCGACAAATATTGATGGATGCACTGAGGACTGTTTCGGACCAGCTTGTGATAAACTGAACAAAATCAATCAATGAAACCAAATTTATCACCCGGGTTTGAAATGGATTTTCTGTATTTTAGCTATAAAGGAACCCACGGAGTTGTTTTGTTAGCCGCCGGACCTAAACCGATATGATGCGCCTGACTGTCCAAAGAAGCCGAGAAATGTCGGGGAGATGCACACAGTGACATGTGAAACAAAGTCGGCCAATATTTTGCACCAAACTCCATTCTGAGTTGGATTTGCAAGAGCCCTTTGTAGACAACTGTCTATTGAATATTTTTGCGCAATTCAGCGAAAATTGTAGGTGGATTAAAGGTGATTATGCGTTTCTTTTTATGGAGGATAATTACTCATAAGGTTGGTGTCCAAGAGCTATCAACAAGTTTATCAGTAATTTCCTTCACGAAAAGATACTGCGATGTCTCGAATATCATGCAGTCTGAAACATGGGGTGGTCTTTGCGCTGCAAATTCGGCCACAGTGTATTACAAACGAGGGATTCACAAAAGCCGAATTTGGCGAGTTCTTTCCATTGATTTTAATATGTGAAGATATCAATGGAATTGAAAACCCAATCAGTTCAGAAATGCGACGAGGGTTGTGTGTGATTTGATTATCTAGACCGTTGGTCTATTTACACACAATTGATATGCTATCGGCTACAAATTACAGTTGTTTAAACCGAGAATGCCACAAAATAATTCGTGATTCATGCACCCGCACAATAACCGAAGCCGTAGATTTCCCCAGCATTCGAGGAATAGTCGCTATTCACACCAGGACTTCTTATGGACCGCATTAGATCAGAAACTTCAGTGACATTTGTGGCAGCTTTTTGGATGTCATGTACTGTACCTAGTACCGGTACATGGAAACCTTCCAGGAATTCGCCAACCGTCTAGAATACGGGAAATTGCGGCTTATTTTCCTGCTACAACAATTGGAACCCTGATGCTGAGAGTTGCCGGAAAAATATCTGTATATTCCGTAAAACCTATTCCATATAAGTTTGACATGTACCAATGACAGCTGGCTTTGTTAAAAAATATTGAGCCGTCTTCGAATCACTAGGAATTTTTGCAATTTTAGGTTACTCTTGGTGAAGTTTTGTCGTGCCTTTTGCTTAGATTCATCACATCAGGGATTCATGTGTCCACCCATAACTGACAATATGGTCAAGAACTGTTGGACCGTTTGGGTCATACTGGCATGAACGCTCAATACAAACAGATAACAGCAGGCTTAATTCGTGATCTATACTTTTGAACCCTTCGTTTTTGTTTTTCATGGAGTTCATCGGATGGATCTTTTCATGTACTTTATTTGCTAATTGTTTCACGTTAGTATCACGTACGCTGATGAAGACAATAAGGTGTTCTTCGAACTAATCAGCTGTCTACTTAATTGTAGATCTTTTTACCAGCCTTCCTGATGTGCTAGAAGTGACTGCCGGATTTGTTTGTATGTTTGTTCGGACTGTTCATTGGAACGGTCCTCCTTCCATCCTGGTGCAGAACGGGAAAGCACTAGACTCCGGTTTCGCTCTTACTGGGGATCACTGTCAAAGCCGAAGTTTGCACATCCGGATGTTCGAATCGAGCTTGTTTCAACTACTCACCCAAACACGGTTGACGCACCCCAATTATTACGTCCGAAAGGGTGTATAACTTCATGCTTGAGCGATGTCATTGGATTGCCTGACCCTCTCAAGGAAGACCCATAATTGTCTTGGTTGTACCGATTGATTAATCCGCCTGTCAGCACCTTCCAGTCAGGTAACACCATAAACGCTTGAAACTTTCGATACCTGCAGGAGCACAGGAGGAGAACCGTTCAAATGAGTGTGATGTCGGTGTCGACGCTTGATACCTTACCTCCATCCAAAAAGCGGGGGACTGAGAGATAAAATGTGGAAACTGCTAGGCCTGTTGAACCAGTTAATGATGGCACGGGTCACAAGTCTGATAAGTCTTATTTGCTTGTTACTATTTTTAAAATTTAAGCTCGGAAGTGTCACCGGTTGTTCACACTCATACCCGAAACTGTACCTTTGGAATGATGTTAAAGCACCCGTAACTTCAAGTATTTTGAGGTCGTTTGCTCTCATGCTTATTTTCTACACTGACTTGTCCTTCTCACCCAGCGAGAGATCATGTAGGCAGCGAATGCCCACTGTTGTTGAGAAGAACCATGTTCACATCTATTTGATTACAAGTACACTTTGAGGTGTCTTCATCTGAAATCAAAACTGCGACTAGGCATGAAGAACTTTCAATGATTTTGGGCCCTACTGCACCATACAGAGGGATCCCTATATTGTTCCGAATTAGGCCAATGTATGGTGCACTGTGTAAGCAAGTTCTCAGTCAAAACAACCCAAGGTGTTGGATTCATCAGGAAAGGAGCCGACAACTTCCTGAGGTTAACTGAACTCCATGAAACAGAGTCACCCACCTACGTGAAATATCCAATAGCCATGAGACTCTGCAAATGGGTCTGAAAAACCTTCCGTGCCCTTTCATTACAGGAACTGATGAAAATCAAGTCATTTCAAGTTGATATGTTTCATATGTTTCACCACAAGCGGATCAAAATAAGTAATATATCACTTCATCAGCGTTTTTGTCAAGGTTTGCGAGAGTATTCAGAAGAATAGAGCAAGACTGGACAACCAACTTGTACATGATTTCTTCACCTGTGGGTTCAAACAAGGAATGAGAGACAATTTTGTCTGCTGTTCACGAGCACAGTACTATCTCTGAGAATTGGTTCCGGTGGTTAGTTGGTTTCCCGAACGTAACGGAGTAGTCTTACGTGTAATTCTGTACAGTGGTACTATTTTGGCACTGTGGAAACAGGGCGACCATCAAGATAGACTGTCAGTGGAGGCCTTGTTTTTGCATGGAAAAATTCCACAGCAACTTGTATCAGTTTGGCTCTCGCTGGGCGCAAAGGACGAAAAGTTGTTTGGATGAAAGTCAGATTTTCACAAGAGGATGTCGGCAAAATTTGCTCGGCAATCAAATAGGTCCTTGTTGGAGAAATTTTGGACTTCCAGTCTTCTAAGCTTCGGACACTAAATCGCCCGTCCCGCCATGGCTGTTGCAGTAACAGTGGTCGGATTGTTTCTGGGAGACAACGCTCGGTTCCATCTACAGAAACAATCAGGCAGTATTCTTTCGTGATCTGTTCGACAGACAAAAGTCCCGAATCCACAGGTCTGTCTGAAACCTTCCGGTACTGTGTACGCTGAGCTGTTTCGGCCAGTTTTTCTACCACTACTCTTGCAATACTTTTTGCAGTTGTCTTCAAGCCGACCTTAATTCTCACACTCGTGCCCGATGCTAAACCAGTTGGATATTCGGCATAGACTCGGAGGATGTTGGGAGGCTTATCACTACTCGTTGAACTCGGCACACTTTCATACCCAACACGGGATTCATCCATTTCTCGGCTTATCCCACTCAGTACTCTATCTGTATCGCCTGACCTGCTGTCCACCTCACACTGAACGTCTTGTGACCTGTAGGCATTGGTGTACCTATTCCCGGGGCCAATTTTAGCACTGTTTAATGGTCCACCAGAAGGGAACCTTTCATCTAATGATCCGGTACTTTGAAAAAGCTTAATATTCCGTGCCAGGGCGCGCGGCGCATGCAACGGGGGTCCGCTGGAGAACCGAAGGTTGCTTAAAAGTGTGGTGGCCGGCTGAGTTGAACGCTTTCGATCCCGTGCTGTTCCAATAGCCTCACTTAGCCATCGTTTTCCACTGAAAAGAGATTCGATCTGTTGCTGAATCGATTGAAGTGCACTGGTTCTGTCCGAGTTTTGAGACCATTCGCTATCACTAATACACTGTCGTTGGACGAACACAGACAGTGGAACCAGTAAATCCAAAATCGCCAACAAGCTGGATATGCGACAGTGATACAAAGGATCATAGGTCATACCCAGATTCCTTTCGAAAAACGCCATTGAACACCATGCGCAAGTCGGCAGCGGAGATGCGATGGTAGAAGTGGGTGGGAGACAAACTTGATCTGCAGCAGGAAATAAAAGTATCAGACTATGTTGTGGGGAGATTCTTACAACTTCCGGGAGGTAGATTCGTAACTGTTTACTCTCCTCTTCAGTAACTTGGAGACGTCGAACGAGTCGCGTCGATGCGCGGTAAAGTTGTTTAACAAACCGATATTTATAATCACCAGAATGTGATAAATCCTCATGATAAGTTGCGCGATTTTCATCTTTGGTGTTTTGCAGCTGACACAAAGCTGTCCACTCTGCACAGGTCACGTGAGAACGTTTCCGGACGCGTTCTGTCGGTAACATGAAAGGGGTATCGCTGGCTTTGGATACTAGTATGTTGGCCTGCTGATTCAAACGGGCTTGCATCTGGACGAAGGTGACATACAAGCCTGGTGGTAGGCGCTGGTTGCTAGCACTGGAATATTGCATCAAGGAATCCAAGCGCATGAGAAGGTTAGCCTCAGGGGATAGTGTCATTGGCTCAGTTCGACAAACTGGCTTACCTTCTTTGTCAGTTTCACAAGCTTGAATCTTACTACCAGGTTCAGAATCCAGTCCTATTGGGCAAAAGTTTTCCGAATTAACTTTATTTTGTCGGAGAAATTTGTGCAGGGGGATCCAACGCATTCCGTTGGATAATGAAATATCTGACATATTACGGACGTGTCTTACAAGTACCAGTATGGATGAAGAACTGTGCGGTGTTGTGAGGTCATGTTGTGTAGAGGTTTGAGAATCTGATGGCTCATCAGCTGAGATCGACTCGGTAGACTCAATGGAGGCTGCTGTTGCTGTCGCCGTTGTTGCGGATGTCTGTTGTGTTGGGGTTGTTATGGTCAAGTCCAACATTTTTCCGCGAAACAATTCAGGATAAACTGACCCTACGTTACAGCTACCCAAGGCGACCTGAAGTTTAGTTAGAGCGTCCAGTAACTGATAACGAAGCTGTAAGTTGTTGGGTGTTGGGATACGTAAGATGTGTTCATTGATGAGCTGTAGATCTGGACCAATGGAGGGATCTGCCACAAGTCGTGAGAACCAGCTTATGTCACTGTAGAAAGAAGAGGCCGATGCAATTTCCTCACGGGTTACGCATATCATTGGAAGACAGTCATCAACGGAAACGATCTGACATTTCGATCCTTTCTCGCCATCTAAATCATCCATCTGAAAATCAGTGTGACAAAGTAGTGCAAGATAAACTCCCGTTTTAGTTTGTTTCACAAATTTGATGCTCTTTGACGTGAATGGAAATCGAAAGGACCGCTTGCGTTGAATCATGGGAGACTTGGTGCGCTTTAGTCCATCATCGTTGACTGGAGAGGACCCATGTCCGACGCCTTCAGTTCCAGTTAGATTGGAAGGCTTATGTACCCAAAGAAATATTTGTTGATCCAACAATTGTTTGACCGAACGGAATTCTTCGCTTAAACTGTTTCCAACGTAACGAAGTGGAGCCACAACTCCTTCGTGACCAGCCGCCGTTGACAGTTCAGATGAATCGGTGGACTCCGTTGACTTGGATAAAATTGGAAGTGCTTCGAACCAAGAAGATGGACGTATACAGCGAGGCTTAGCATAACAAGGCTCGGACCAACCGCGAACAGAATAGCTATACACACGCACAAATATGAATTTATCCGGTTGAAGGTCGGTAAGCTCATAGAAACCGGTTCTAAACAGACTGGATTTGAAATACCTAGAAGACGGCGCGCTGACAGAGTTGAATAGTTTGTCCAACCTAACTGGAGGCTCCACAATGCAGTAAGCTGTTTCTTTCTCACCAAATTCTACAGATGATGACCACTCAATTCTGTACCTCAGGATGAAATTTCCATATGAATCCGCGCAATTAATACGCCTGCCCTCACTGAATTCTTCCGTACTGGATTCACAAGACGTTGTGTCATCCATGCTATCTGTTCGGTCTTCTTCGGCCGTGTGGTCTACGGAATGGCGAGTAATATTTGTCACCCTCGGGGGTGTGATTCGAATCAAAATAGAATTTGGACTTGAAACCATAAGGACTACTTTGGTAGGAGACGGAGGGAACAGTGGAAAGCGATTCAGCCCATTATGCAGTTTGGCCAGATATTTCTTATTGTCTTCTTGTTCCGCAATTTGTCTTTCCTTGTCTGCAATCTCAGAGAACAATGAGGTTCTGGTGAGAGATAGCTCAGAGGCACCAGCATTGTTTATGTCCTCTGCAGAACCTGCCAAATTTGGTCGACCGAGTTCATTTGACTTTGAGACAAGCGCCTTGACTTCATTCTTCAGTGAGACCAGATGGACTTCGGTTTCTCCAACGCAGCGGGCAAGATGACACTTCAGGGGATCACGTCCAAGAATACATGTGGGAATGTTTGTCAGAGGGTCATTTAATTCCGGCCCTAGTTGAAAGTCCAATGCCATTAGATAGAGCGTCATTTCCAAAGAGGATACGAGCAGCGAAATATCGAGTAAGCTCAAACCGAAAGTGTTGCATTGATTATGTTTCCCTAGTTTCAGTTCTATACTTAGTGAGTAAATCTTTTTAAACTCTTTGAGCATGTATTCCAGTTCATTTTGCTCGACGTAGGAAAAAACTTCTTTTAACGTGTGGTACAGTTCAGGGGATACGGGAGTGTGCTCACCATGAGACACTGTTTTGGTTCTGGATGGAAGGAGAAGATCACCTGCGTTTTGGCTTGTCGGTTCACACTGGCTGAGATCGCATTCAACTGTTTGTCTGGATAGAGGCCAGTTGATAGTGGAATTGTTTCTCCTCAGACGGCGCACAACTGCATAACGATTGAGCTTCGAATGAGCTCCAGAGGCATTAGAACAACCGAGGAGGGCTGCTCCCGTGAGTGCCAGTTCAGCAGGCCCCATTATGTTTTCAGAACTTGTTTGAGTGAAAGCAATCCCAGCATCGTGTAATTCTTTCTTAGGGGGATGTCGAGCGGGTCGTGTGGTACTAGGCATAACGGGAAAGTCTGGTACGCGAATTCTGTAGAATCTATCCGAAGTTCCTCTCCCAGCTATTCTTGAAAGCAGATCATACAAGTCCTTATGAACACCCACACAGGGACTCGGCGACTTTCCTAAAACGTTCACCGACCTGGAACGTCGGCCACGATCTGTCCAGTTCCTTCCACGCTTCCTGCTTCGCTGTTTTGACTCCGTACCAGATTCTTCGCGTACCCCAGCATCAGGGCCCACAGTGGGATCTCTTTGATTGCTAGTTGACCGTGTGTGGTTGGTCTTTGGATAAGTCACTTCAGTGGACGCACCTGAACGGGAGATTTGTGCACTGCTTCTTGATCGCTGTAGTTTACTTTTGGTCACCCTTGACCGAATGCGTGCTGTCCTATTCTTACTACAGGATGCAGGTTGTGTAACGGTGACCGTGCCTTTACTCTCTGACGGTTTAGTTATGTTGCTATGCGAACGCTTTATGTTTGTCTCATTTGGCTTTGTCCTCAGCTCCTCCGAAAGTTGTCCATCTGGAGAATAGTAGCGGACAGTCTGTTGAGCATGCTTCTGGAAAACAACTGTTTGATGAGCATTCTCATCGTGCACTGTGGAAATGCTATTTGTGTCGAAATCTTTTACAGTGGAAAGCATTTTTGCAACATTCACTTCCAAATTATTCGTTTGAGCGGTCTGTTCCCCCTTCATGGCACCACACGCCGTTCCGGAATGACTACTTTCAATGACTTGGTTAGTTAGATTCACATCTTTGTCGCCATCAATAAAACATACTGGCTGTGATGGAAGCTTTAGCATACTTGCTGAATTCGTGATTGACTTGCATTGGTTGATATTACGTCCTCCAATGTCCAGTTCTGAATCATCAAAAGTCCGAACATCCTGTGCCACCGGATCACTCAATATCCCCTTCTCCACCTCATTGTCAATTGAAAACACCGGAACAGTGTCTGATCTATTGAATCGCTTTCTCTTATCCGTTAAAAAGTTCAGAGCACTGGTTAACATTTTTAAATCATATGCGCGAACTGATCCGTGAACCGAGTTGAATCACCGAGATGAATTGTTTCTAGAAGGGAAATAAAAAAAATGAATTTCAGGGTGGGGAAAGAAAGAAGACAATTTTAGGGTATGCATGTAGTTAGAATTCACATGGGTACAGGCGGTCTATCATATCGGCAAGGCCACCCAAGCTCTTACATAGAGGGTGAGTAATTTGGTTGTTGGTCTGTTCGCCGAGCTTGGCGCTGAGTTGCCAAACGTTTCATCACCAATCGAGGTGACAACTTCAGTGCAGGGTTGAGTGGGTGAATAGTTTGATTGGCCTCCTGTGATTCTGACGTGGTCTCAAACTCCTGTGTCTGGTTGGAGATTGAGACCACGCCAGATTCACAGGAGGCCAATCAAACTACGTGAAGACCGCTTTTAGAACTACCTGATATTGTTTAGATGCTATATAATCACAGGTAGAAGAGGAGGAATTCACCCACTCGGCCCTGCACTGAAGTTGTCACCTCGATTGGTGATGAAAAGTTTGCAACCCAACTGCCAAGCTAGGCGAACAGACTAACAAACAAGCGGTGCACCCGAGCTACCTACATTCCAAAAAATTGCTAAAGGTGAATAGTGATGGCGCTGTTAGCATGGAGACGAAGTAGCCATTGTGTGAAATTGTGAGTCGTGTGTCACAGACAGCTCCATATTACTAGACAAGAGCATTGTGAAAATTTTCCAATTAAGCTCTGAGAACAGCATATCCTCTAACTTAAAACGGGCGAACCTTTTGATTGTGATTGAGAATGAAGGTTTTCGATTTATATCGCTTCCGAAATGCGCGGGCTGTTGATGTAGGCCGGCGGTGTCGTCCTCAAATTGGATCGATAAGCTGCTGTGAAAACAAGAACCACACCGTGTTTCCCCTCTGCCGATGAAAGTTCTGATACTTTTCTCTGGCCAATAAATCTTGGTCGATCGTTACGGGTTTCGCAGATGCGAAACACAAAAGAATGTAAATTGCTTGGACAAAGATGGTCATCGACCACAGCTTATGACCAAACGTTTTTTATCTCGATTAGCTGGTTTTCAGGTTGATTTACCATGGCAACGCACAAACAAAGAGCATAGCTCATTTTTTACAAATCAGCAGAAATTATGGTGCGACGATACTGATTCCTTATGTGTTTTCATTTTATTTTGTCCGGACTTGGGAGAATTTCACTGCGAAATGAAAGTTTTCCTCCAACCCTCGTGTCATTGTCGCTTGACACAAAAGTCAGCATACTATGCTCACTCTTGATAAGTGTATTCATTTATTTTCCCTCTATCTATGCAGTTGGTTCGTCCTGCTGCCTAGGTTGGTAATGTAGCACCCTCGATGCGGAATAGGAAAAAGTTATGCAACCAATAGAATCACAGTTATTGTGATCGATACGAATCAGTGTGCCAGTCTTAACGACCGGTGAGTTCAAAGTCCAACTACATTGCTGGAATAAAATGCAACCACACGGAGTATATGACAGAGTTGACCTATTGGCACATCTCTCCGCACTATCGACAATTCAGATGAGTTGGAATCATTGAGCATAAATTAAGGTGGCTTGAATATCAGGGGACTTTGCCTACCTGATGAGCCCTAAGAAGGGTGAAACCGGTCGTGGGCTGTCGGAGCATTTTCAGCAACCTTATGAGTATTGCATTACAAAAAACATCAGGTTAACTTCTTCTACCCATTAAGTGGAGTGCATCCAACTTCTGTAATACGGAATCAGAAAGGCACAAACAAAGAACCCAAATGGTATCCTTCACTCAAATACAGGCCCTGCAGACATTGATTAATCATTGGCGCTTGTTTCGTTGACGCGATCTTTTGTACTCGTGGCACAGATGATTCTTATCACTGAAAACACAGGGGGATTGAATAGGCAATCATATTCCTGCTTGCGTTAAAGTGGTTTCACTAATTATAAGAGAAGTCAACGGCTCAACCATCTCCCGATTACAGGATACTACTCAATTTCCACTTACAGACCAAGTGATTTTTAACTCGAAAAGAATCATTCATCCAAGTTGTGTTGGTGAAATACGTTTCATGAAAATGGATTGACCTGACCTGGTGTTGTTTTCTTTTTCCGGCGATATTGTCCATCACACCTTTGGAACAAAGTAAACGAAGCCAATGGCACTATTCCTTCTAATGAGGAATTTTGTGTATTCAACAGTTTTTGAAGTGGTCCACAATATTCCTCATGGTACAGTTAGATCACTTAATAATCAATATGTTGTTTGGATTTTTGACGGGGATTTCGCCCTCTAAGTATAGTCTATCTGTGCTGAAAGGCCAAAAAGCACTGTCCAGCCGTTTCATCCTTATTGGGAATAATCATCAAGGCACATCACACGAAATTCCAGGGAATCTCGAGAACACGACTTTCCGGCTCATAGTTTGGGTACCTGACCATTCGATCACGAGCCAGAGGCGGTCAAACAATGACTTTGCAGCGAATTTTAAAAGCCATTATCAGCAAACTTAGCTGCGCTGGTCTTCACCATCTTCCTGGATGGGAAACCCGAGATGGGACACATCAGTGGTTATGGACATTACCAGATGTGGCCCAGTCGCGTCATCAATGGTACTCATGCATCCAAGCGATTGCCTTCAATGCATAGCACTCTTCCCAATCTCCCCACCTAACAGTCTACTGACAGTGCTGTATTCACGCTCCAATTTATCATCTCCTGCCTCCAATACATAGCTACCTACTTCACCTCTCCGAATCATCGGTGAACGAAACTGTGGCAGCTACAACCACTGTACGACAAGTACGCGATTAATACACCTGACACTGATGATGATGATGACGACCACGAGCGGTTTTGAAACGCTGTGAGAAAAATTATTATTTAGTATACTTGTTCTGACAAACATGCTTGCTACTCTCCAATGGAGGTGCTGTTGTCCGCTTTGTGCTTGGTTACTAAAGAGTCACTCCAACGTTCTAAAGACCCCCCAGCTATAAGAACACCCATCATAAAATCCGGAGCACAAAGGAAGTGTTCAAGACTTCCCGATTTCTTTAGATATAGACATAATTTATCCAGAACGGTTGGAGCTAAAGCTCGCCTACTTAAGAGACAGATCTTTCGAGGCAAAAATGAATTACATCAATCTAAAGCCACTGTAGTCAGTTATTTTGGATGGGGTTATCCTCGAGCGCCAACTGCTCCAATTGCCTTTGCCGCCTTAACGCTGATAAACTCTCTGTACCGTAACACTTCGAGATACATACGACCACGCATTAGCAACATACTCCAAGCTGTCTTTGACATTAGTGTGTCAAGCATCGATTCCGTGTTTCTTGGACATTGGAGTTACGCTTCAGCTACACAATTTACCATTATTATTATCATCTAATGACTTTTATGGCACATGGCTGAAGTGCTTTTTTGAGGGCACAATGCATACAAATTCACTGCTGATATCTAAGAAACTGGTGAAAGAAATCATCGGATTTCGTTGGTTATAACAACTTGAAAGTGGAAGCATCAAAGCAATGACTGAAGCAAACGTTTATCACAATAAAATTTATCACAACAACAAGAGGCTTTCCTGGGACGTTTGAAGACGTGTGTCGAGACTAAAAACACTGATCTTCGTGCAACTACCGAAGAACCGGTCCTTCTTTGCAGATAACTTCAATCGGGGTTTGTATTATTTGGAAGTTTATTTTCCTCCCCCTTTTTCTCACTAGACGGGATTCCAGCGAAAAAAATATTTTGAGAAAATTCTTTTCTGTTGACTACTTGTGGTAACATCAGAGAGTAGGACAAAGATAGTAAGGAGAGTCTTTTGTTTAGTCGAACGGGTCGAATTTATTACGACATCCTAATGTGCGTGGCTAGCGTGGGAAGTAGACGAAACAAAGTTGGTGGGAAAAAGTCATTCATTCACGCCTTCAACCGCAGGAAAACAATGGAAACATTGGTGAAGGATTGGTATGCAGGAATACAACAAAATAAATAGCTTGGAATAGAACTATAAACGATGATATATCCGAAAACGCTAACTTACATGGGATCAAATAGCGATTACTTCCTAACCTTGATCTAGAAATATTACATACAGCCTGCAAAACGCCTGTAAAAAGAGGTTAGGAGGGTGAAGGAAGCCTGGTAATAAACATATGCCGACTGATCTGTCCGTTACGGCTAAACTACACACACAGCGCGGTTTGGTTTCCTTCAATTCTATCGATCAGCTGCTGCGCCTGCCCTCATGCACTTTGGTTCACAATCCGAACTCCTAGGGTCAGGCTAACCATACACTCGTACATCATACGTGGGGACAAGCACGTTTGGTTTAAAAACGTTAAAAAACGAAACGACATGCATCCACCCTTCGTCCTCAGCCTGAACTATAAATGAGACTTGCAACTTCGCAAATGCACTCATGCTAGTTGGAATAGTTGACTTGAAAACCGGGTTTCGTTAGACAGCATCAGCATTTATTAAACGATAAAAAATTAGGTCAACCTACATTCATTTGCCCAGACCCAAGTGAGTTCATAGCTGCATTTTTTAGAGATCCCTACTGATGTTTTACAGCTTTTGAGAGCCCATTACCTTGGGCAGTTCAGCTCAATCTCCTTCAACGGAAGACATGCTCGGTTTGACTTGTTGTGTCCGTAAAAGGCTCCATCTGATGGTTGCGTTTGGCTTGGATGTCGCGAAGATCCCTGCAGTCAAATAAAACAATAGCATTTTAACCGAACCGGCCCGCTTTTCGAGAAACCGGTTTCCTAACAGCAAAGAATTATTTCTGACCTATGACAAAGTGTTACTCCCCAAGTCAACTTTTGGTCCCTCATAATAGTGACAAATTTTTTGCGGGGATTGGTGTACGTTGGTTGGGAATCCAGACATGACAAGAGGATGATGACTAAAACCTTTGACCCAAAGATCTAACCTCAAGGTAGCAACATTTAGCGACGAACGCAAATTCATTACCATTT